GGCAACATCTCACATCTCATTATGTAGCCCTGGCTGGCCTAGAACATTCTTTGTCAGAGACCCTAGCCTTGAACACCAAGAGATTTACTTGCCTCTGCCTTCCAAGTGCTGGCCTAGAAAAACAAGGTATTCTTTCTCAGGGATCATCTGCAGGTTGAATTAGCCGTTCTCTTGTTTCTTGTCCTGTATTTGTTAAGGGGGCTGAAGTCTCAATGGAAGTAGAAAGTCCAGAAGGATCTTAGTACCTGGGCCTGGGTGTTGACTATTGGCTGAGTCAGATTCTGTCTCTGCCCCCACATCCCCCCACCCCGGTGTGTCTTTCATCAGTGAGTGATCCAGCCCGAACTGAACTTCTCTGCATGGAGGCAGAAGTACATAAGAAGGTAAGGGACTCTTGGGCTTTGCGACCTGGAGTCCATCCCATAACATGACTTCTTCCACGCGTTATTACTTTGAAAAAGGTACAGATCCTCCGCCCCCATTCAAGTCGTGAGCTAGACTGTTTCTTGATACGAATGGAGGACTATTGTGGTAATCCTTTCTTCCTACTTACTTTATGTGTGTGTGTGTTTTCCTGCATGGATGTGCGTGCACGCTCGTGTGATGCCCATGGAGGTCAGATGAGGGGATTGCAGTCCCTGGAACCGGGTTTACAGACAGTTAGGAACCTCTAGGTGGGTGCTGGGCCGTGAACCCAGTTCCCAGCAGGCGTCTTAATCCCTGAACCATCTCCTTACTCCCTGTGGCAGTTTTTCAGTTTACAGCAGATTATGTTGGTTACAACAAGTTCTCCACCTAGCCAGGTGTGCAGTTTCCCATGTCTGTCCATCACCTTCCACCCACTCTTTTTTTTTTTTTTCAAGACAGGATTTCTCTGTTTAGCTTTGTGCCTTTCCTGGAACTCGCTCTGTAGACCAGGCTGGCCTCGAACTCACAGAGATCCACCTGGCTCTGCCTCCTGAGTGCTGGGATTAAAGGCGTGCGCCACTACCGCCCGGCAACTTCCACCCACTCTTGACACCCTGCTTCACAGCAGACACCGAGGCCATCTATGTCAACTGTGGAAACAAACCTCCAAGTTGAGTATCTAACCTACAGCAACCTGAACTTGCTGTCATCTAGTTTATTGTAGCTACTTGAGTGGTAAGAACCTACTTGAGACTGAGGACATAGCTCAGTGGGAAAGTACCTTCGAGCAAACACAAGCCTGGGTTTAATTGCTAGTATAATTTAATTAAAAAAAAATTACAGAAAACACAGTTCCAACACTAAAACAAACCTCACATAACAAAGCTGAGGGAAGTGGCATTGACATGGGCCGGCACAGTTCTTGACTTTTTTCTGATGTCATCACAATCATGGCCACACAATCAGGTCACCTTCAGGCATCACATCTAAATTCTAATATTTTATATTGATATCTAAAAGCAACATTTTCATATTCTAAAGTTTAAATGAGACTATAATTTTTTGTTTTGTTGTTTTCAAGACAGTTTCTCTGTGTAGCCCTGGCTGTCCTGGAACTTTCTTTGTAGACCAGGCTGGGCTGGCCTTGAACTCACAGAGATCCACCTGCCTCCGACTCCTGAGTGCTGAGATTAAAGGTGTGCCGCCGCCGCCGCCGCCGCCGCCGCCGCCCGCCTGGCTTTTTATTGTAGTTTTAGTTCGTTTGTGTGTTTTCTTTTTTAAAGATTTATTTGCTTATTTATTTTGTATACAGCATGTAAGACTACAGGTCAGAAGATCTCATTACACATGGTTGTGAGCCACCATGTGGGTGCTGGGAATTGAACTCAGGACCTCTGGAAGAGCAGTCAGTGCTCTTAACCTCTGAGCCACCTCTCCAGCCCGTGTGTGTTTGTTTTTTGAGACAGGTCTCTTGTTACTTGACCTGTGCTGTAAAACTGAGAACTGGCTTTAAACTCTGGGTCCTGTTGCCTCCACCTCCCAAAAGCTAGGATTACAAGTGTGTACTTGGGTCTCATTTACTTACACATAAACATATACATATATATTTATATACATATTAGTAGTGGTAGTCCTGGGAATTGTGCGTAGGGCCCATATATTCTAGGCAAGCTGAGGCTGAGCCACCTCCCTATCTAGTTTTTCAATTTATATTTTGAAAGGCCTGCTGACATGGCCCAGCAGTTAAATAAACTTGCTGGTCTTCCTGAGGATTCTGGTTCAGTTCCCAGCACCCACATGGCAGCTCACAACCATCTGTAACTCCAGTTCCAGGGGATCTGATGCCCTCTTCGAGGCCCTGCTCACA